TTTTTTTTTGAAATTTTCAAATTTTGACCCGGCCGGGTTATGAAAACCAATTAATTAATTTTGCATGGCCTAATATATATTAATCTTTGTTTATTTTATAAATTAGCTAATGCATTTAAGCCAGGAGTATTTCGAGAATTATGTAATTTTGCACTAAAACATTGGAAAGAAATGAATCAATGTGATATATCTGGCCGAGAATTAATAATTCAAATGAAAAATTATAAAGCAAATAAATCACCATTTAATATGCCATGGAGTGAACAAGATGATATATTTACCTGGTGGCTTACTCTGGAAGCTCAACCAAACTATATTGAAATATTAGCACTAAAAATACTAAATTTAAAACCTCAAAATGCTAGCTGTGAACGAATTCATTCAACATTAAGGTGGTTTAGTGAAAATCGTAGAGGTAGATTAAATGTTGATCGTTTAGAATCAATGGCCAAAATTCATTCATGGTATGTAACAAATTCAAAAAATGAATTGGAATATTTACCAGATGAGATAACTGAAGAAGAAATCGAATATATGGTAAGTAACATGAACCAATTTGATGAATATGATGAGTTTTTGTTAGATGAAAATGACAATAATAGTTTAAACGAAATGGATGAGTTATATACTGACATATTACCAGAAGATCAATTAGATATTGATAATATTATGGATTTACAATATGAATTATTTAACCCACAACTTCAACAAAATAATACTATTAATTTAAGCAATATGCATAATAATGAACTTATCGGCAATAGGAATTTTGATATCGATGAAGTAATGAATGAATTTGATGATAGCTTTTTTGAATAGTATTAAAAGTTTTTATTTTTATTTCTTGATTATACCTTTATATATAAAAATATATAGCATATATAAATATATAGTTTATAAAAATATAGAGTATCGAATAAATAAATATTTGATAAAATTAGATATCTTATCTCATTGGTTCTTACTTCCCAAAATCTAGCTTCCTATTTCCCCGACCTCATAATTTTAATATCCCTTTTTCCCAGCAAGACAAATTTCTGACAGTACATTTTACTGATAGAAATTCTTTACCGAATTTTTTTTTCCTGACATAACCAATCCTCAACAACCAGAATTTTTGAAAAGTTTTATTAGCCAGACTTTTTCACCAACAAAACCCTTTCCCCGAACTCCTATTTCCCCGAAAAAATTTGGGTTACTGCTATTATCACAATGCCTGAAACACCTGATAAAAATTAGCCGAATGATTGTTTGGCCGATTCGGTTAAGTTAGTGATTTTGGCATGATCCATTATATAATAAAAATAATAAAAGCTATTATGACCAATTACAACAATAAT